AAACATTGTTGGATAAGCAATCGATATACACATTTTAACTGATGTAGCTAATCACTAATAATGTGAATCCTAGGACGAGGTGGGTCAGATATCCCTGCCGCCGCATTTCTGTCATATATTTGATTGTTTGATGTGACAAGAAGATTTTGAATTTTCTTTTTCTTTTGCTTTTGGGTTTTCTCTTTCTTCGCTTGAGAATCCTGAATTTAAAGATTAAGTATCATCCTGACGAAGTTTATCGGATCGTTAAAATTTTATCTAATGGTTATAAACAGGAATTTTTTTAAAAATTATAATAATTGTAATTATTAGATAAAATTTCAACGACCTGATAGGTTTGGTCAGGAAGATCCTTAACCCTTTGCCTTGCTCAAAAGAGGAACCTGATCCTTTGAGTAATGCCAATGTTACAAAAAGTATCAAATCTAAAGAACAGTCATCACCAACAAATCCCCATAGTCCTTGTCACAAAACGAGGCCCCAGCGTCAGTCACCAAAGTATGCTCAATTATATGACACCATTCTGACCATGTACGGACGACATACAAGGCAATGGCATGGGTTTTTGAGGAGGAAGGTGAATTGTCTGCCCTTTTATTTTTATACTATTCTCATCCATTTCTGTTTGTATGATCACGGTTAAGTTACGTCAATATTTTATATTGATTTTTTTATAAAAATAATAAAACAAAAAGTAATAAAAATATAAATGTTGATGTGGCTTAATCATGACCACACCAAACAGAAGATGATGAGAAGAGTATGGAAATGAGAGGGTAAGACAATTCACCTCATTTGAGGTATTATGCTGATGATACAATAACATACGGAAAAACACTAAATTAATATTGCATTCGTAACATGCAAATTCTTCTCCACAAACATAATTTTACTCTCAAAATGACTTGCATAGTGCATAATTCTTTTATAAATTTTGTCACGAAAAACAGTAGAATAACTCTCTTTTTTTGTGACCAATAACAACACCCTTTTATAAAATACATGTATTGTGGACTATGCATGTAATTAATTAGCAACATATCCCTAATTATAAACAAGATAACACAATTTGTGTTGCATTTAACTTGAACGGATGTTGGAATGCAAAACAAACAAATTAAAACAGGATCCAGACATACAAACCATCCACTGCCGATGATACAATAAGTACGTAACCATCTGCAACATAAACCACTTAACAAACGTATATGGCCATGTGATATTGCGATGTGAGAGAGACTACTCACATACGCCATCGCCGGCGCCAAAACTGAAGAGCAAGCTATCTATCCCTCATCATCGACAGTTTGTCACCAATGACCAATCGCCACGCTTATCCTTAAGTGAAGCAAACGCTTCGTTGACAAGCATGCACTACTTATTTATATAGGCAGGGAGTCACGGCATGGCCTTCAGCATTTTATTATGTTTCCCAATGTTTATGTGTGTATATATATATATATATGCGCGCGCGCGCGCTTGTCCCATCTGTTTTGCATGCTTAAGAGGATAATTATCTATGATGTAGGTATGATCTATATTAATAGATCACTAAACAAGATTAATTAACGTTATTATACATTATCGTACCTACTTCCAGGTGTCGAAATTTATCCACATGTTGGTTGATGTTTGCGTCACTAAATTCAACTGGCCGGCAAACGTATTGCTACCAAACCATTTGTAAGCATGGAAGTGGAACAAAAATAAAATAACACAACTGGATATATCATATATACTAGTGTGACAGTGCAATTTGCCAATAATATACTTGAAAAATAGTTAGCAACCTATTAAAAATAAAGAGAGGAAGAAGAAAGCCAGACGAAAAGACTGCTGGAGGGTTTCGCAGCTGCTGCCTTTAGCTACTTGTCACTGCTAACACATTATAATCTAATCTAAGTTAAGTTTTCCATATTTTTTTTTAAGAGGATGCAGAAAACAATTTGGGGTCAACTTACTTGGCAAACACTAAACTGGTTTTATATATATAAAAGTACACACACATACACACATATATATATATAAGTACACATATATAGATATATATATATATATCTATATGTGTGTGTGTGCACGCGACAATATTAATTTTGAGAAGGCCTTAGGGTAAATTATATTTTACACTCTCAAGTTTGGGCGCCATTATAAGCTTGCCGGCCAATTGATTAACGGAAGTATTAATAGAATATTTAACGGAAGTATAACATTGTAATGAATTTGTAAGTTTGTGTATAATGTTGCCATGTTTAAAAAATAAGGTATGAGTTTGTACCTCATCCGAATTTGAGAGTGCAAAATATAATTTACAATACTAAATTTGAAAAAAAATTCACCACCATAGAAATCAACGTGGAATTTGATTACAAGTTACTATTGTCAAAATGAGGTCATGCTTTCTTAAGGTCCTCATTTTGAGGATATGTAAGGATCAAATGTATATTAGCCACAAAATTACATTAGCTTAGATCCAAAGTTTTAAAATATTTTACAACTTAATAAAGCAAAACCAACTTAAAATTCATGAACCATTAGAAAACTCATTTTCTTGTTTTGCTTTATTAAGTTGTCAAATATTTTAAGCCTTCAGATATGAACTAATATAATCTTGAGAGAGCAGGACTTTGGAAACCGAACTTGGGGCAACCCGCTTATAAGCATAAAAGAACACTAGTAGACCATAGTGCCAATGAAGACATTCATAAATTAAAAGAATAATGAATATGTATAATTAACTCAAGAAATAGAGGATTGAGATTTCGTCATTGATCACATATGTTAGAAGGGGAGGGGTAGAATCTCAACTTTAATAAGAAACCATTTTGGCCAGCAGGTTTTGAACCCCGAATGGCATGCAATGTAAGAGCCCCTCTGTAATGTCGAATTGTGCTTCCAATAACTGGGATTTTAAAGGGTTTTGGGAGGATGCACCTGACCGTTAATGGAAGGTTGGAGTATGCAATCTTAAATTAAAATAAAAGGACATGAGATAATTAATCATTACGATTGAAAGACTTACTTAAAATAAGAGAGTTAAGCAAGAGAAAGATGCATCTTGTACTAAATTCTCGTGACACTTTGAAAATAATAATGCATCGTATCCTAACTCACTCAGGACCAATATGCAAATTCATGCATCATCCAATTTCCTCTCCAACTTAATGGTTGAATCTGCATTTTTAAACTTGGTTTGACCTTACAATATGAAAAATGACTTCAAGCTAACAAGGCTCTCCGTTTTGCGAGAGTGCTCGGAAGGTGGGGGAGCAACGTCTATCGTACGAACCATTACCCTTACTTTGTAAAGTGGTTGTCCCAAAACTGGTACACTCTTCGGTCACAAAGGAACAACATTTCCGTTGCGCCAAACTCACCCTACATTTGACTTTACAATATGAGTGTATAAATACATGTAAATACGTACTAGAAACTCGAGTACTCATGACTTGTGGGTTTGAAAAAGGGTATTGGTTGAATGGGATACATGGACCGTTGAACATGACAGAGAAATTGATGTGTGAAAGAGAGAACCAAAAAAAGAATTAAGAGGGCAATTGGTGTTTCTTTATGGTGTTTGCTTGGTGACCTAGCATAGGGTTTTCCCGTGGAATCATTAGAGGTCGAGTTATCTAGACCACAAGTCACTTATAAATGCTTGAGGCTCAATCATTTCAGATAACACTTATACATTATGTATTAAACGCAGTTATTGGCACGCGTTTCCATTTGCTTATTGTCTCATTTGAGTTTCGTATGTTTAATTTCTACGATCTTTACTTTCAGAATTGGTCCAACCATTGATGGTCCTTCGAAGCATGGAGTTACTCGGTTGTTATTGCTATGATATTGTACTTGCTTCTTCTTCAGAAAAATAAATTCACCACCCGTAGGTCTTCTATCTCTACGAGACGTTGCTCGTTAGGACTTTTTTTCCCATTGTTAAAAAAAAAAAAAAAACTACAGAAAAGTTCAAAAAAACTTCATTTTTAATGAAAAGTCATTTAAAGTGAATAGTACCAGAGAAAGCTATAAATGTGGTTTTTCGTTAAAAGTGAACAGTACCGAGAGTGTTTTGTTAAAACTCCCAAAAAACAAATCATGATCTAAAAGTAAATTTTCCGTTCTTTTTATGCATAGGATGTGTGAACTAGTAATAGTGAGGAGAGAGGGGTAAATAGAGGGGAACTTTAACGAAAAACTTTCGGTATTGTTCATTTTAACGAAAAATTACATTTTTACACTAAAAAGTCAATCATGATACTATTCACTTACCCTTTATTTTGTTCTTATCGTTAAAACTCAAAGTTTTCAAACCCTTTTCATTAGTTTTTCTTAAATGGAGTTTGGTGAAATAGTTAAAAACATGACACCACTATTTTCATTAAATTTATTTATTTTTTAATAAGTAATGCTAGAAAAATCAATTTTTGTAAATTAAATTTTCAAATCATATAATATGTCACAAATAAAATATAAACACGTGTTTTTAATTTCTCGCGAGTATATAAACAAGAAAATGAAGCACGATGGGAGGAGAGCTAATAAAAACCAGAACGCCGGAAGCAAATTAACAAGCGTCCAACGGGGAGAGAGAGAGAGAGAGCGCAGAGCACGGAGCATGACGAGATATATAGTAGTCCAGCATTAGCCAACAGCTCCAGGACAAAAACACCCCATTGCCGTTTCCTTCATTCTCCTCTGCCGCATCGTGTCTCCTCCTCCTCCTCCTCCACCACCACCACCACCACAAAAGCTGCCGTTTTTTGTTTTTGTTTTGCTCATCATACCTATCGTATTGTACTATCATCCAGCTAGCTGTCCTCCCACTCTCTCTCTCTCTCTCTCTCTCTCTCTCTCTCTCTCTCTCTCTCTCTCTCTCTCTCTCTCTCTCTCTATTCCGTTGGACAGTCCGTATATGTGCGTGCAGTGTGTGCGCAGCTACCTGATCACATATTCCCAGCTCAACAAAATTACCAGCCTGTCCTTCTCTCTTTCTTCCTATGACACTTCATCCCCTCCCAACTCACTCCCTCCATTATTCTAATCTCAATTTCAATACGAATTATATCTCCCACCGCTTCCACTTGTTCCCGCCGCTCCACCACCTCTACAACCACCCCACTCCTCCGCTTCACCTCCCCCAAAGGCCCCGCCGCTCGGCCCACATGGCCACCGGCCCCACCTCAGCGGGCCCACGAAGAAAAGACAAGCTTCTTGTCATCATGGGGGCCACCGGCGCTGGCAAGTCCCGCCTCTCCCTCGACCTCGCCAGCCGCTTCCCCTTCTTCGAAATCGTCAACTCCGACAAAATACAACTCTACCGCGGCCTAGACATCACCACCAACAAGCTCCCCCTACCGGAACGACTCGGCGTCCCCCACCACCTCCTCGGCGAGTTCGACCCCCTAGACGGCGACTTCACCCCCGCCGATTTTCGCGCCGTCGCCGGTCAGGTTGTTTCCGGCATTACCAATCGGAGGAAGGTGCCGATGCTCGTCGGCGGGTCAAACTCCTTCATTCACGCGATGGTCGCGGAACGGTTCGAACCGGGATCCAATGTCTTCGAACCGGGTTTCGACGCCTCCGTCTCGGCCGAGCTCAGGTACAATTGCTGTTTTCTTTGGGTGGACGTGTCGATGGCGGTGTTGACGGAATATTTATCAAAGCGAGTCGACGAAATGCTCGACTCGGGAATGTTCGACGAGTTGGCCGAGTTTTGCGACCCGGATGGCCAGGACAAGCACGACCCAGCTGCGGTTCCGACAGGGTTGAGAAAGGCGATTGGAGTGCCCGAGTTCACTCGGTATTTTAAAAAATACCCACAAAGTAAAAGAGACGAAGACGACGACCGGGAGCGGAGAGGAGCATACGAAGAGGCGGTGAGGGTGATCAAGGACAACACGTGTCAGCTGGCGAAGAGGCAGATAGGGAAGATCCTACGGTTAAGAGGGGGAGGGTGGGACTTACGGAGACTAGACGCAACGGACGCGTTTAGGGCGGTGGTTGCGATGTCGACGCCGGAAAATGACGGCGGAGAGAGGTGGTCAGAGATATGGGAGCGGCAGGTGGTGGAACCAAGCGCGAAGATTGTGAAGCGCTTCTTGGAGGAGTAGGTCTTCCAGCTTTTTCCAGCTATACATTCCCTTTTTTTTCTTTTTTTTTTTTAATTCTCCTCCAAATGTTTAGTTCGTCAACAATTTTGGGGAAAGTTCTTCTGTGCCTCTGCTTCCCAATTCCTGTATGCACCGGAGAAAACAAATGGAAAAATCGAAAGGTGGGAGTGGACTGGGAAGACCGAGGACCTGAAGTCGGGACCATAATGCGACAAATTTTGGATTTTGGGAGGGAAATGCAAAAAACACGAAATACAGGAAATTGAGAGGGAAAAAAGGAAAAAGGAAAAAGAAAAAATTCTTTTGGCAAGTGAAAAAAAAGAGTTTTGTGAAATTTTCGCAACTTAAATAGGGAAATTCCGTGAATTTTGTTCTCTCAAATGTAATTGAGTAAGCAAATCACTCACTAAACTCTTCGAATTTTTTAGATATTATTGTTCCTTCCTAATACAACATCGGCCTTTATTGTTCGGGTGATATTATTTAGATACACAAATTCGAATTTTTTAGTACATGTGAGGTCCAAATACAATAGTATAGCCTATCTTTCTCTAATAAGGAGTATTTATGTAAATTTAGTTTTGCAGTCTACCGTGCGGAAATATTTTTAAGTAAAAGATTATGTATTGTGCTTATATCTCACATCACATCAGAGTCTGTATCCAAAGAGATCTCAATTTTTTTTTATAAATATGGTAACTAGTTGTGGGACACACATTATATCGAACTTTAATAATCCGTACCGTATATTTTTCAAGTATTCATTCATATATCATCATTACAAAAAATCAGTTCAATCCGTAACTTTGAACTCAATTAGATACCTCAAACATTTTCGATTTAGTTAATATTTTGTAAAGAAGATCTATGAAGTGAAACTGTTAAAAATGGACAGTTCAAATCGTTAAAATTCGATATGAAATGGACCCGCCAACTAGTCCCAATTTCTATTGAAAAAAGAATAACCCTTTAGATAAAGGGCCTGCACATCACGTAAGGTATAGTTGCAGTTAAATTTTTTCTGCTGGTAATTGAAAACTGACTTGTTGTAGTATCTGCTGGCGATACAAGTGATTTTCCGATCGAAAAAGGGAAGAAAATCTAATAAAAGTGTGCTTTTATGCGAAATGCCAGATTAGCAAGGGAGTTGGAGATTTGGCAATTTTACTAGATTTTGTTGTAGATCTTGTCAAATGCCAAATTGGTCCGTGATCTTGTTTCTAGATACACTAACTACACACGTTCTTATAAATAAGTCTCCTTCAACCTTCTGTGTTTATTCTTTGATGATATATATTATCATAATTGTATGCTTATCAGCTGATCAAATTCAGGTTTAACAAATCAGAAATCCATTTTTTAAAACTAAGAAAACTTGCATTTTTCTTATGGACCGTGGATGGGACCACGTAGCTTAAGTCCGACGGAAAGCGTGACATTGATTGTTGTTAAATGAGTTTCTTGTTTAGTCCTCTTCATTTTAGAAGTTTTCTCTATTTCTACATTCGTTTCTTCCTCACATTCCCTTTTTTGTCTGTTTATGAGGTTTCTTGAGGTTTCTTAGGAACAATATGTGACGTATTCATTTAAATTGTGTAGTAATTAATTAAAGTCACGCTAATTTAACAATAATTAATCAAGAACGAGAAAAAATACAACTCAAATCCAACGAATTATTTTGTGTATATTTAAGGATGTGAGTTGTGGCTTGGGAATTCGTGAGGGAATTTTGGAAAAATGTGTAATTTCATGTCCCAAGTAGTATTTATAATATTAATGTAGAGTTGCTAATATTAGGGATTCTATATGTAGGACATGATATCAAGCGAAGGCTAGGGTGATACTTTCCTTCCATTCTCAACCAACAATGCACGTCCTCAACGTGCTTTTCCTTCAAGTGCTTCTGCTGCATAAAACATAATTGCAGACATCTGATTTGGAGAACGACTTCAGGTCAATTGTAGTTGCAAGATTTAATTGGAATTTGAACCTTGACATGGAGGTCACGACTAGTCAATTTTGTGCCAGCAGACTTACAAACTTCAGAGCAACAAAGGAACATCAATTGAGTTTACCATTTCAAGTGGAATAAAACTGTTCAAATTTCCAAATGATCTGGTAGTATTGTTAGAAAAGCATGAAACTTGAAACTTCCCACCCTCTCATCCGATAACAGCTTGCCTACATTCGTCAAGATTCCACCACCGCTGACCAACAATATAATGTCAAACGTAAATTAGTTTGAAATACCATCATAGTTGTGGAGCCAAAAATATTCACTAGGCGACACGTGAACTTTTGGACAAAAGAGGACAAAAATACCCTCGAGGCATACCGGGTTTCCTACACGCGAGCAGTAGAGAATCATTTTTTCAACCAAGTCAAAAGTGCCCAAAATAGGTATCAACTTAAAACCTAATTTATTCATATATTTCCCATTTCATTATTTAGCTAATCAATTAGCTAAATAATATACTTATTCCTTTCATATTTCATAAAATCATAATAATTGACTAATTAAGGGATTAATTACCTAATCAATCCCTTAATTGTCAATTTGAAACATCCACTCAAACCTAAAAAACACAAGAGGGCCGGCTATCCCATTGAAAAAACCTAATCCATTACCTTTTTTTCTACCTTTTCCCACAATTTCTTCCTTTTTATTAGCCAATTATACAAAAAACCTCCAAAACATTCATTTTATGTTTAATAGCCAAATAAATTGGCTAATTAAACCTAAAAACCCTAGCCACCTCCTATCCCTATAAATATACTCCCATTCTCACCAAAAAACTAATTCCAACACTTTGGCAAAAATCCCAAAATTCTCTAAACACTCTTTCTCTCTAAATTCTAACTTTGGCATCGGAGGTTCTTCGGCCAAAGCCCCCCCCATTCATCGTGGGCGCGTGAGGCTCTTGGCCTTAACCTAAGGTGTTAATTGTTTTGTAGGTGCAAAAATCGTCCAAGATCGAGGAGGAAGAAATTTGCATCCACAAATTGGTGCTTTCATTGAGAGTTGAAATCCATACTCGTAGAAGACTCTCGCACAAAAAAAAGGTTTTTTCTTTATTTTCTAGTCCATTTGAATATTTTTCATACGTTCTTATTATTAGAATTTTTTTACTTGCAAAGGTTCTTTGATAAAACGTATAAGCAAAATATAATGGCTAGAAATTTAGAAAATTCCACAAGTGAAAATTCTAATGTTCAAGAAATGGGGATTGCGGAGATCCGTGAGGCTAAATGCGACAATAAGGGGAGCGGCATCATCATCACGAGCTTCCACCATGGGGAACCACCGTGGTGGCTACTTCGGTAGCTACCCGCGGCGAGGTCCATGGTGCCTTCACCACGGCCACCATGGGAACCACCGCGGTGGCTACTTCGGTAACCACTCGTGGCGAGGTCCATGGAGCCTTCACCACGACCCGGAGATCCGTAAGGCAAAATGCGACAATAAGGGGAGCGGCATCATCACCACGAGCTTCCACCATGGGAACCACCGTGGTGGCTACCTCGGTAGCCACCCACGGCGAGGTCCATGATGCCTTCACCACGGCCACCATGGGAACCACCACGATGGCTACTTCGGTAGCCACTCGTGGCGAGGTCCATGGAGCCTTCACCACGGCCCGAGCCGTGCCATCCAAGGCTCATGGTACCAAGACCACGATCCAAGCCGTGCCATCCAAGTTCACGTGGACCCAAGCCCAAGCCTCGCATTCACATGCACCGCGCATTGAGCAGCCTGCTCCCGTGATCCAACCTGCTCCCGTCGAGCAACCCACTCCCGTGGCCCAGCCTGCTCCTGCCAAGCAGCCCACTCCCGTGGCCCAGCCTGCTCCTGCCAAGCAGCCCACTCCCGTGGCCCAGCCTGCTCCTGCCAAGCAGCCCTACTTCCGTGGCCCAGCCTGCTCCCGCCAAGCAACCTGCTCCTGCCAAGCAGCCTGCTTCCGTGGCCCAGCCTGCTCCCGCCAAGCAACCTGCTCCTGCCAAGCAGCCTGCTCTCGTGACCCAGCCTGCTCCCAACGAGCAGCCCACTCTCAAGGCCCACACTGCTCCCGTGGCTTTCCAAGCAGCCCAAGTCGGCCCAAAACTATCTCAACCATCTGGACCTACCATCGAGCCGGGGGCATTCTTACCACATTTTTTCGCGGATTTGACATTTCCCAACTCAAATCTCGCGCCCGGAGTCTACCACCCTTCCACTGCTCAAGGAGGCGCATTCCTTCCAAGCTCTTCCAATCCAAATGGCGAACAACACTTGTCTCGACAAGTCATAGAGTTGACGAGCACCTTTGCACAACAGACAACTTTGGTGAATCAACTTTTGCAACGCATCGGGATCCAACGTGCCCTGGATGAGGTATCCCGAAGTAGGACAAGGGCAGACGAACCTTTCCAGCAGCATCCCAGCAAGCAGCCATTCGACCAGCCACGAGCTGAACGTTCAGGCAGTGTACATTCCCGATTGGGCCCCCGAGATAGCGTATACTCCCGTCTTAGCGCGCGGAGGAGCGTGTACTCTCGACTAGGCCCACGGATGAGCATACATTCACGGTTGGGGTCACACTCCGATAGTCAACATGAGCAACCTTCCAGACAAAGTGTTCATTCGCGGCTAAGCCCACAAGGAGCATCATCCACCTCACATCAGAGTAGGCAGCACGACGGACGGAGAGAAGCAGTCACTCAATCCAGCTCAAGTTCAACCAGCAGCCTACGAAGAACTCGCTCGCCTGCTAGGAATGCACCATATGCACTGCATCTGCTGCATAGACGAGCCAAACACATGGAAGAGCAGCCTAGACCAGCAAGTCATGGCTGGGGGCAGCCGAGAGCTGCACTACCCCAACAAAGGCAAATTCAGGAAGAAGTAGAGAGACTCTTGACCAAGCGATTGCATGATTTCCAACGCAACGAGGTCACCAACGAGGCACTACGACGGAACATGACCAACATAAGCAGGTCACCCTTCACGGACGAGATCGAGC